TCAAGGGAAATGAAAAAGTGAAATCAACTATTTTTTAAATATTTCTTCACATTTACTAAATTGTTATATCTTATTGGCAACAAAATGCATTTGTTTAACTATCAGTCGCCTTAGGTCAACATCTTAGGTCACAACATTACATCAAAATTTAATTTTTAAAATATCCGCTCTAATTCATAATTATTTATAATTAGTATGAAACCAAATAATTGTTTTCAGGATTCGACTATTTGGAATTTTAAGAACCAACATACGTCTGTGTTATGGTATCACTTACATTTATAGTTCTTTCTGAACATATCAAATGTTTCAATGAAAATAATTATTTTTATTGGGATTTCAATTGTAAAATGGCTAGCCACATCAATAAAATTTAAAAGACCCCTTTGATAAATCATCTTTGATAGACTATAACTTATTATAAGGGACCTTTCTCGTATGGTCATTACAAAGTCATTATAATGAGCAATATGAAAAGATAGAAGAATAGAAATGAGTCTCTATTTCACTTGGTAAAGCCTAATCTTATATAGATATTATCTTTTTATATTCATAAATATAAGTGAATTAGTTTGAATTCTTTATTATTACATTTTGAAAGTACCAGGTTCTCATAGTTTAGTTAGATGAAATTCCAGGAATCATTCGTTTTCTAAAATATGTATGGGATAAATTACAACAGGAATAATGACCTTATTTTTCTATGTGTGTGTAATAAATTGAAAATACTAAAAGTTGTTTGTTTGTTTTATTTTGATCCTAAACACTCATCATATGACAAATACGATCCTTCTCAAAACTGATTATTATTATATGTTTCTTTAGAACTCGTTTTTAACTTTTAATTAACAACTAATTAATGATAATAGATCCATGTATATTCAGCTGACGAGTCCTAAATAGGACGAAATGCACGTTTAGAATTCCATAACTAGCCACCATTCATCACCGTTTATATTTAAATAATTCTGTACGTCATATTCATAATATTTCATTCAGACTTAGATGATAGTCAGTAATTCTTTTAAAACTTTATTACTTCAGGTATTTAGATAATAAATTCAGTAAATTAGAAATAAAGAATTGTTAGATGATTCCTTACTTAATATTCATTTGTAATGAGGACAAACTAAAGCGAAAAAACAAACCCTAGTTGAATAACAGATAAAATGTCAGATTTCATTCCTTGAAGAAGAAGAAGAAGAAGAGGAAAAGGTGAATTTAAAATGATTCGTTTTTCTAGAACCATAACAAAGTACTTCGGTAAATTTATTTGTACTGACCATGGAATATAGGTCAAATAATGATAATAATAATAATAATAATGACCATTGTAAATGTTTCAGATTAAATGGTTTCCTCATTTAGAAAATGAACTTACTACAATGTGTGAAAAATTGAAACCGTTTAAGAATGATATTTATCACTTATAAAGGTGATTAAACATTCTGTTATATTTAAAGTTATATGCAATCTACTACTGATTATGTTAATCATTTATTTAGGTCGCTTATCGGCTTACATAATTAAATATTGATACGTATAAGAAATTTTTATGATCTATTTGAAACTACGTTATTTATACTGAATTCATTAGATTTTGCATTCAGTATAATGAAGAATAATTAATTACCTATTTAACCTATGTAAAATACATGATACCTAAAAGATATGATCCAACTTTTAGGCTTACAATAAATTTATATCAAGTAATATATTATTTATATAGAAAATGAACGATTCTAGGAAATTTCATGGCTAATAGTCATGTATTATATATGAGTTTATTGAAAGTTATTTATTTATGAAAGATTATTCATGGTAACAGTATTATGGGTTAAAAAGTATCTGAAGGGGTTTGTGTAGATTTTTAGAAATTTTCACAGATTGAAATCATGAGTCAGTTGAAGCTAGACCACCATTGAAAACCCGGAAGCACTGGACGGCCGTTTAGTCCTAGTGTGGGACTCCTCAGCAGTGCGCATCCACGATCCCGCACCACGCGGGGCTCGAACCCAGGACCTATTGGCTTCGCGCACTGCTGATGAGTCCCACACTAGGACGAAACGGCCGTCCAGTGCTTCCAGGTTTTCAATGGTGGTCTAGCTTCAATTGACTCATGAGTTCAATCTGTAAAAACTATCTGTTGATAGTTATAGTGATTTGCGTTAGTTTAAATGTGAGAAAGATTTGTTGAATATAATTGAAAGTAGTTACGATTGTTATTATACATGGTAGATGTTTTTATATGGTCTGTTGATACTAAAAGATGTGAAAAATTCTCTTTTTGTAAATCATTACAATTTGTTAATAGTTTGAAATAGTTTATGAAAATTATGCTTTGTTGATAAGTAGTAATACTTACGTTAACTGTAATTTCTCTTCATTGAAACACTATCGATTTACAATTGATCGATAAATTAAGTTACGAATGTACCAACAACAACATAAAAATAGATCTTTAATAATTAGAATAAATGTGAATTATGACATTTAGGCTAAGAAATTTTTAAAGCCGTCAATTATCAAGACACTAGAATCTATTAATCAATAATAATTTTTGTTAATTTTGAACAGTTAATATTCATTAGACATGGTAACTAACTAATAAAATTAACATTTTTTTTCATATCTTCACTTTAGGTAACATAAAATCATGCCTATTGTTTATTGTTAAGATAACATTATATTGTGTATTTCAACTAGAAGTATTATTCTTCAACTTAGTCAATGAACTGTTAAACTACAAAAACATTAAGCTAAGAGTATAGTTGTACTTCACTAATATAAACAGTAACAAAATTGAATTAGTTTGATTATATTTAAAATTCGAAAAAAACAAACAAAGAACTTATGGTAGGTTTCAATGTTTAGACCTTATCTCATATAAATATCCAAAGTATTAGTAAAATGGGACATTCTAATATAAACTTATTTTGAATGTCTTACATGTATATGAATGCTTATCTTCATTTTGGAAAAAAAATTTATTTCGGTTGTGTTTAGACTAGTAACTATTTAAAGGATACTTTATAATTGTTGTATTATCTATTCATTCAAGACAATTTAGATAATTCAAGTATTATAGCCTGTCTTTGATTGATTTAGCTTAATACAAATGGTATTATATAATTCTACCAAGAATCTGGTCATTGAAAATGTATACCATATCTATTTAATAGGTATATTATTATTACCATGTTCATATTGAGAAATGATCTCTGAAATGTGTTTACAAATTAAAGAAAAGCTTAGATATGAACAAATAAATTGATCATCTACGAATATTGGTTAACTGGAGTAAATGACGAAGAACAAAGTAGATTAACTGCTTGAATTTATCAGTAAACTTAGTTGTTTTTTTCCGGTTAGTGAGTGGATTAGAGAATGTTGGTCGGCGGCTTATGCTCCATTGGGAGTAACAAGCGTAAGTAAGTAGATAAATTGGTTGATTTTATTCTAAAAGGATAGTTTGCACAAATGGAATGTTTTCAGAAATCACTTATGTCACCTTTGTTTTTTGTAGTTTATTTATGTCCTGAAAGTAAACATATGATTTAATATCAGAAGGGGTTTTATGGAAATTGTAGTAATTTCAATAGTTTAAATCATGAGTCAATTGAATCTAGACCACTATGGAAAGCCTGGAAGCACTGTACGGTCATTTTGTCTAAGTTTTTGGACTCCTCAGCAATGCGCATCCAATATAGATTACATTTATATAGTAATTTATAAGTGTAAATTTTATGACCGTTTGTCCGGGACTTAAATTTTTAAACTTCGAATAAATCTCAAAATATGTGGGAACTAGACAACTGACGAAATAAATCCGAAATCACTGGAGGAATAAATTTTATTAAAAAAAATACTCTTCAGATGTAATAACTCTATGACCACATATACTATAAAGTTGTCTTCATAAATTGGGATTAAAATGTACCATATTTATTATAAGTAGTATGGATTAGTTTGAATATTATGGCTTCTACTTTTTATTGTGCTTAAAGCTGTTTAATATTGCTTAACTCAAAAGCACTAAAAGGTTTAACTGATTCTCTAGCCCGGTGCATAACACGTTTTCTTTCTGAAACATCATGTATTGTTTTCAAATCTCACTGTAAATCTCAACATTGGAATGGAGATCTCTGATACTAAAAGAAATTTTTAAATTAACTGAATATTTACTGTTCATTTTTCTAGAAAAAATGTTAAAAAAAACTCTTTATTTCCATAATGGTCTAGCTTTAATTGACTCATGTATTCAATGATTAAATTACTACAATCTCCACAGTACCTCTCTCTGATTATAATTTCATATACATTTATTTTGCTCCTATTTTTTTTAATGCAATAGTTTGATGATCTCTTATTTACACTGTACAAAAAATATCAATTCAGAAAGTAAACTACAGGCTTTGTTTCATTTTGAACTTAATCAATCTTATCAAAGTAAAATCATACATAGATACACCTTAAAAACTTTCATGAAAATATATAATGTAATAATAAATCTGATATCATTCTAGGAATAATGTCCACCTGTAGTTCTTCTAGTGTTACTGTCAATCCTAAGCCCAGATAAAAGAGGAGAATTGTATATGGGATTAATAGTGATTCTAAAAGAGCTACAAACGATGATTTAGTAATTCTATGTAATATATAAAATTTAAATATACGCTTTAGTTTATATAAACTAATGTTTCATATTAACTTATGCTCAATAGTATAATTACGATATTTTCATTTATGATGTTTTAACAATAGAATCTTAATGGATTAATTCAGATGAAGGATATACATACCTTCTCATTCTCTGAAGAAGTGATTAACACTAAGTCACGAAACGTCAGAAAATCCTATTTTCTACTAATTGGGATATTACAAATATATTATTTTTGTTTATGCATACCTTATTGTTATTAAACTAGAAATAATACAGAAATATAGTTATAATAATAATAATAATATAACATTAATTGTTTATTATACTAAAAACTTACTATTCGTTAAATTCTAGTACACTATTCAATAGTTCACGTAAAGTGAACTGATATCATAAATGAACATTGAAGGATATATATATATATATATGTGTGTGTGTGAAGGAGAGAGTGATTGTGTATTATTTTACACTGTTCTCAAAGTAAACAAAATCAATAAAGATGAACTTTGTCTAATTGAATAATCAAATTTATTATATCATATTATTTTTGATGATGATTATTTAATTGAAGAATAAAAATACTATAAATAAATGAATTTTATATCCAAGTTATTAAGTTAAAAGTCACCATTCATTTATTCATTTGTTTTGTTTTTTAAAACAAAACTTATATAATATCCTCAGAAAATGACTTATGACATATATATACACAAAGGGATACATACATGATTACATACATATTAGTTGACATCATGATGAACTTGAAGTAATAATGATTGTTAACTATGATTATTTAACATGTTACTTTATGAAATAAGTAACAAATACTATGTCCTATAGTAATAACAAAATCTGTATTTTATGTTAGGAGAAAAGGGAGAGTGAAATTGAGAAAACTAATGGTTCATAACATTGAAATTATTTTTTTTTACTTTATGGGCAAATGAAGTATTTTGTTGCACTCATCAATATACAACTATCTTAACCAATAATATGAAGAGCAAATAAAGTTTGTGCACTGTATTACTATTGTACGAGAACAATTGTTTTTCTTTTCTTTTTTAGAAAAAAAAAATAATACCCCAACATCTAAATTAGGAGTATAAACACATGCATACACATGTGTTCATTTCTACGGTTACACTGTCCATTCATTGATCCATAATATTCTGTGGAAAAAAAGCATGCTGACTTAACACACATACAAATATACATAGAATAGGAGTGGAAGAAAAACAGATAGGAAAATGTTTAGTAAAGACAGATTATGTAGAAAAACTAACCTTAGTCTATTTGAATCTATGTAATATCAATAATGACAAGATTACTTAAATAAGTAGTTATGTTCTAAAAATAGGTCACATAAAATATATGTAAACCGTATGTATTAATATATTTATGTAGTTGACTGATGTGAAATAATTAAAGCTAGAATGTTTATTTATTTTTTAAAAAAAGGGATGGTTAATAATGTTGCCGGTAACATAAGACTATCAACAGGGGGGGGTGTTTAAACGATTATTGTCAGTTTGATTAAGGTTACAATTTCAATTTTTATAGAGGGACTTTGACAGGTAATAAAAATATCAACGTCAATTTCTATGTTACAGCACAAAAATTTTAATATAATCCCAGTACACCTATTCATTTTAGTCAAGATTGAAGAAGATAGTTTCACTGAAATTGAATGCCAATTACGTAGAAAACTTTAGATACTGTATTATTTGTGTAAAAATTTAAAAGAAATTTAACAGTTCTAAGATTTTCCTAGACATTTCCGATCACTGAAATTTGCATAATTATGCTTCTTATCTCCCAAGATCACGAAGTCGAAACGCATGTTCATATATGTACTGGTCATTTATAATGATTATAACATTATTGAGAGAATGATTCATTTTCAAAATGTAGTTCACACGTTTCTCACTTAGTGATAAGCTAGATTAGAAAATCACTTTGCGTGTTTTTATGATTCTGAGGTCATATACTACTACTATTATTACTACTACTACTTATATATTGATAATGATCATTTACAGAACTGAGAAAATCAACTGGTATCGGGTTTAAAGACAAGTTCTAGCAGTGTTAAACACATAGCTCTAACGATTGTATATGGAACTTAAATATTAATTAAAACACAACGTAGAGTGATGTAATGAGAAAAATATCTATATACGAATGACAAAATATATCAGAACAAGTTTCAGTGGGAAGTATACACATTTTTGAGCAAAACTGGCTGTGTTTCCAGATCATTTGTCTTCAGATATGTACCTTCATTGAAAGGACAATATATAACAAATTGGAAAAACAACTTGTTTATATGGTCTATTTCCTGTTTGTTAAAAGTGAATACTCTTACACTGTTTGTTGGATATTATCCTTTTAAGAATTGCTTCGGTGAAAGAAACTTATTTATTCCACAAAATACCGATATGGAATCAAAGTATACTGCGTAAAATATCTTAATAAATCCTACAGTAAAAGTACTACACTAAATAACTGTAGTCGAAATTGTAATAAAAAGGTAGAATGGAGAAAAATGAATATCAAAAGTCTTAAATTCTAATTTTTACTGTCATATAGGCGCAGAGGGTCAGAAACTAAACTTAAGCTTAAATATAACAAAGGACTTGAAGAGAAAACTGGTTGATAATATAAAGAGATTGTTAAAATCAGAGATTATTCTTTAACTTCAATGAATATCGTGATTATAATTAGGTGAACAGGTGACTAAATGAATCTGATAAGACAAAGAAAAGAAATTGTTTTGGTTATCTGTATATTCACATAAGTTATAAATGTGATTGTTAACAAAACAAATTGAAGTATATTTAGGTAATATAACGAATTCTGTCGATATTTAGTTACATACATTACCAATGACTGTGATAGTTTGAGACTTGATCTTGACTAGAAAGCATAAGTTACTTATGATCAAGTGTCAGTTAAAGCGATTAAAAACTTCACAGATGATGTGATCAGTTGGAATTATCATACTGTCGAATACTGATCCCAACAATTGTGTTTGTATATATTTCATACTCAGCTATTTAATGCGTTTAAAACTTCCAGAATATAGATATGTTTTTGGTGAAAGAACCGAGAAAATGTGCTTTATGTTAATCGTTGTCACAGGTTAGTGAAGACGATAGCTTTGTATAAATGATACGAAACCGGATTAATGGTTGAATAAACATTTACGAGTAAGTGCTTTTCTAGTTTGTTTTAGGAAGCATCATATACTTTATTGAAAAAGGTTTATACTAATTGTTGGTACATTTTAAGTAGATATGTCATTGAATTAATTTTAGTCAACTGGTTTACAATGGATGAGCAAAATCATCAAGGAGTGCTGACTAGTTGAACAGCAGAAAAAATCAAATAAACGTAAGTTTTGAACCTTAAAAAACATTAAACTTTTTAATAGAATATTTACTTCTATGTAAAGCTTAAAGATGAATAAAAATATTAATGGTTGAATTCATGAGTCGATCTAAGCTAAACCACCATTGAGAACCTGGAAGCACTAGACGGCCGTTTCATCCTAGTTTCGGATGACTCAGCAATGCGCATCCATGATCCCGCATATGAAAGCGTGAAATCAAAGTTCCTGGATTCAATTCCCGTGTACGGAATCATAGATGCTCATTGCTGAGTCATCCGAAACTAGGATGAAACGGCCGTCTAGTGCTTCCAGGTTCTCAATGGTAGATTACCTTAGATCGACTCATGAATTCAACTAATAGAGTTACTATAATCTCCATAAACCTCCATCCTGAGAATAAAAATATGTTCATTAAAAGTTTCTTTATTACAGGCTTTGACCTCAACATCATGTCAATTTAATCTTTTGGAATGGTGATTATTGGTTTTAAAGGGAAAAAAGCTCATTTAAGAATAATATAATGTTCAGTATTTTGTATTATGTTATTTACTGAGATGAAAAAGCTCACCAATTTTTCAAAAATAGAACTATGAACTTGCAATAGATTTATTCATGCTAATGAAACATTAATGAGTCTGTCGAATGTCACTAATAAAATCTGAAATGAAATTTAGACAGCCAAACACCATCACAGGAGTATGAATTATTTAATTGTCAGTTGTGTGTAGACAAACGAGTTGGCAACTCTGCATCTAATCTTTTCTATCTCAACAGATAAACTACAGTGCAGAGACAAACCAATTTTAAATACAATTACCATACTTGAATATCTCTATTACTAGAGGTTAAAAGATCAATTTTTTTCAGATAATGAGTAACGCAGTAGTTTATTTTGATCTTCTATTAAAAGACATTCCTCGTTTTCTGGAACTTTTACAATAATAGACCAGTTCGATTGGTTATAAAACTTGACCCGAGAATTTTCGTTTAATATCTTCACTCTTTGACAGGACATCATTATCAAGTGTCATCTATTGTATGGAATCTAAGAGCAAAATACAGTGCTTTATTTTGAGCATCTAAGTGCTATTTATTAAACTTTTTTTATTGAACAATCTTGGGAGAATCTATCAGTCTTAATTCATTTATTAAGGGTCTTGAGAAAAGTACACTTTCTGCCACAGTGATATGTTTACATAATTACATCATATCACGTAAAGCATAAAAAACTGAAAGAAAATAGAACTTACTTGGCAGCTGCATATACCAACTGTAAATATTTCATAATAAACTAGAAATGATAATCATTTCTAGTATCGTGCTCCAAACCATTACCAATTACTGATCTTAAATATTTATCATTTAACTTATTCAGGAATAAATTAATCATAGGATAGTTCTGATGAAATCGTTTTGAAAAAGATCTAGATGATCAGTACGTCAAGACGGAGTGATGTACTTCAATCATTTCCTAAGTTATTAGTATAACTTGTGAATCTGTGTGCCCTGTATATTGGATAACGCAACGATACCGCCTATTAGAGAGCAGCGAATTATCGATCGAACCAGTGATGCATAAAACACGTGCGAGCAACCTAGAGTCCTGATTGGTCCTGCTTCCCTGTCTAGCCCAGCCAGTTGAGTTCAGAACACCGATCCCAGCCTCTGCAGTACAAATCATTTATTTCAAACGCACTCGGTTTATATATCAATCAAACTGACCACAGCGTACCATAAAATATGAAAATAACATTTGTACAAAATATGGCCAAATGTGGCTGTGAATGAGAGAGATAGTGATTAACAAACAGGGAATAATTCAAGAATGGTAAATCGTGTAATAATAGTTCATAGGTCAAAATACAACTCATAATAACTGAGACATGAATATGAGCAGTACAGTTACATAACAATTATACAATAAAAATATACTCATAGTATTGGTCCATAAATGGATCCCAAGAACTACCATTCATTATTTTTATCGGGATATAACAGTTATTCATTCAATAAAATAGTAACTTTGGTTTTATTAAACTTAGCCTTACAAAAAATCTAGCGTCCTTCCTGATAATATTTGACAATAAAACAGGTTCTGAATTACAGTCTGATGTATATCTATATATATTCGTACAACACTATGAATACAAGGTGATTTATTATTCAACTACTTGAAAAATAAACAAACGAAAATAAACAAAAGTTGTTTACAACTAAAGTAATAAGCTATAATAATGTAATAAAAGAGGATCATTATTGACATAGATAATTTCTACAATTTGAAAACATTATTCATGTATGTACCTATGTATATCATATTTATACAAGTAAATATATAGAAAGAAACATGGTGTAACAAGCAAATAGAATGACAAATATATATTTCCTAAAATGGAAATCTTTAAGTATTTGTAATGAAACAATTACACTTACAATGACTTTGATATTAATAATCTATAATTGTTTTCTATTGCTTTCTATTGTTACTGTCATTCAAAAAAAAGAAAGGAAACACAATACACATGGGTAAAATACAAACAAACAAACAGGCAAACAAAAAACTAAATACAAATATT